TTGCTCTATAAAGGGAGGAAATTTCCTCCTACAAAACGGGGAGGAAATTCGCTCCCCTAAGAAGGGAGCAAATTTGCCACCTTTTTTTCTCTCAATGGAGGAAACTTCCTCCCCTCGTGTAAGTGATATAGCTTTCAACAGATGGCGCTCAAAACGGCAAAAAAAAATAGTCGGAGAGGCTTTTTTTTTTCTTTAGGTTTTGCCGACTTTCGAACGCCACATGGTAGCGTTCGAACATAACATACATCACTGAACATACAAAATACACGGAACACGCGCAGATCAACCACGCACACAACAGCAACAACGCAGCAACACCGGGCCCCCTCGTCTCTACGTACGCCAAGTTCCCACTAGCTCTATATATGGCAGTCTTATTTTTGAATCCGACTTTTTCGGTGACTGCCATCATTTGGCGCAAAAGCACGGAGATGCGGAGTAAGTATTACTCTTACTTAATACATTATTTGAATTGTTTTGTGGAATAGCCCCCATCTCTTAATTCAACACCCCGAGCAAAGTAAATGTAGATCATTAGGCTAATTAACTAAAATTTAATAATTTTCTTCTGAATAAGTTCGATGAATTATATTGACAATGCAGTGCTGAAATGCAGTACACTGTGCTAAACATTGCAATCAAGCTATTGCTTGATTGAAGTGTTCAGTGCCAGTGTAATTATTTTCAGTTTTGGTGGGGTAATTAATCATTTTAATTGTTGCACAAGTTCAGCGGATTTTCAAACAAACAAGATTACTGATTTTAACAAGACTTCTTGAAACAGCAGAGAAGATATCTTGGTTCATGCTTTGTCACCGGTGTTACAGAAATTTAGAATTGTTTTAATTTACTAATCTGGAGCTTTTTTCTATAAAAAGTAAGGGCCGGGCGTGATAAAGGCCCACGAACCATGACTTTGGTATCCTCAGCAGGCAACTAAAATAAGACTGTCTTTGGTGATATAATGCAACCGCTTGAAAACGTCACATTGCCGGAGTCAGAAAGTTAAAAAGCCCGTGTTGAGAGTTTTAATGGATCGTTTATTCACTCCCGCAACTCCATACGCAATCCGTTATGGCTTCCGCTATATATACCGTAGCGGAGCCGCGTTTTCGTGTTCTAGTAGGACGTTTGCAGCCCGGTGCAGAATATAGCGTTCCGAGTGCTAACGCAACGGAACTCTTTCGGACATGAAAGCTAAAATGGAGGTTCGTAAAGCAATTGTTAGTAATCTTCTATTTATTTCTCTATCTAAGTAGTATTTAAATTTATTATCGAGTGCTTCTGTTCATGTTTGATTCCTTTATAAGTACGTCCAGTACGCTGGCGACGAGTTTGAGATTTAGGTTGTCGACGCCGGGTTAGTTGCGCTCGTTTCGCGACACAAAAGGGATCGCGTGATAATAGACTAAGTCAGCCAAATAAAAAAAAAACGTAATTTTTTTTTATTTTTTTTTTTAGTGCGAGTTTTGACATGTAGCAGGAGATGGGGCGCAGCGCAAACTAAAAAGAAGCAGCGGTGAACCGTTGGCTCTGTCGAATCATGCGTTTCTTCAAGCCCGCGGATCTGCCCTCCGCCCCCACTTTGCCCCGCAACGAGAATGGAATGTCTGTACTACCCTTTCTTCCAAGTGGACTCTTCCCGAATGCATAGTTGACCTTGCTTTCCGGATCCGTTGCCTCGTCCCTTCCCCGAATCGTCATTGCAGTGTCATTTCTTGTGCGGGGATATGGTTTTTGAAAAACGCGTGTTCCCGCAAGCCGGTCGTTTTTCCGATGTGGGCGGACTACAGCGTGTGTCGGACGGAGTCGCTCACCGCAACGCAGTGCTCGTCCCTATCGACTGGATATGCCGTTCTGTTTTATACAGAACTGAAATATACGCCTCACGGATTACCTTTCGCTGTATGGTACGTACGCTTTATTTCAAGAGTATACGTTTCTCGCGAAGGTGACGGCAACCAAGCTACCAAGCGCTCAAGTTGCCGTCACCGCCATTAAACATGTTTGCGGTGAACCGCCGCTGGCGCCACGAATATAGAGGAGGAATTTTCGTCCCTTTTTCAAGCGCCACTAGGTCGCGCTGCATGTGGATAGGTGAAAGGGAGGAACAAGGGCAATTTCCTCCGTTCCGTTGGCGACAGGGAGGAACATCGTTGTTTTCCTCCCTTTCTCTTCCCTTTTTTTTAGAGTGCACGGCTCGCAGCGCTGCCTGTTGAATAACATTCGAAGAGTTTGCACACTCTGAAGGTAAGAGCGTTCACACCGAAGCTCTCTTTGCAGCTCCTACACACACAGAGAGAGCCCACAATTGAAGGGGAGCCACTGATGTTTTAAGAGCTACTTATCGTAACATTCCAAATCGCCGCGTTGTCGTAGATTGTTTTTCACCAGCTAGGTCCCATAGGGATGAGGCCAAGGCTGGGGAATTCATCGCCGGAAACGTAAAGGAACCAAGCAAACGACGTGAGGCTCGCGGACGCGGTTCGTGGGAGCCGACGACGTCCAAGCCACGATCCGAGCAGCCCTAGTTGCAGCCTTGCTTCCGAGAAGACTGGATATTCTTTCCGGCGGGCGCACAATACTTGGACAGCATGCTTGCGGATGATGGGGATTGCAGGAGGTGGATAACAGGACAACCAATGCACAGAAAATAGGTTGAGCAACACAGGGCACGCACAGAGAACGATTGTCGCCACCATGTAGAAATAAAACGAAGCTGAACCATGGAAGCTACAGTTTAGTACCAAGGAGGTTATAATGGGCAGGAGGTGGCGTCCCCATCTCCAATGCATGGAGCGAAGTGTAACGGAATTAGGCGTGGCCACGAGCCGCAACGAGCATTTCTTGACCAAAGCGTCACGGCCATAAAGCAACAGTTACACTGGCAGCCGCTGTCGTACAGACGAAAAAATCTAAGACTAAAATTTTTCTACTGTCTTTATAATGATAAAACTTGCATCAGTAAAGAAAATTACATTCGATGTCCTTTCTAGGTGTCGGAAAGAGTGGACCACCAATATAAGGTTGCAACCATTAGCTCTTGTTGTAAATCATATTTTGTTCGAACTGCATTAGAATGGAACATGCTTAACGGAAATGTGTTTCCATCTGTGTTTTCAGCTGAACTGTTCTTTGTAAACCTCTCCCTGCAATAATGCCTCCAAGGCGATGCAGGTAACCTCAATAAATAAATAAATAAATAAATGGGAAGCCTACACTCTAAGAAAAAAGGGAGCGCGACTTAGTCCCTCGGGGGACCAAATGCGCTGCCACCTTTAATCCCCTAGGGGAGCAACAGTAACGAGGAATTCGGAGTATTGGTAACAGGGCAGCGTAAAGGCCGGTTCACACATACAGCGAAGCACTAAATTAGCGCTACGTGAGCGCTCGAAGGAGCATTCATGTGGCGCTTCCTAGCGCGCCGGTTTACACATACAGCGAAGCGCTAAATTAGCGCTACGTGAGCGCTCGAAGGAGCACTCATGTGGCGCCTCCTAGCGCGTGATGTAGCGCTCGGTTAGCGCTTCAGTAGCGCTCTGTCAGAGCTCTATTAGCGCTCTCACGCTCCTTGTGCCGTGCTCGCTTCTCTAGCGCTCTGAGGGGGGTAGAAAAGCGCTTTGTTAGCGCTTTGTTAGCGCCCTCACGCTCCTTGTGTCGTGCTCGCTGCTGCGGAACAGAGCATGCACGGCGATCCCCTTGTTGTTTTCCTTTGGCATTGAAAGAAGAGGAAGTACAACAGCCGCTCTCCCAGCAAAGATTCGGGCAGGCGACCCAGAGACTAATTGATTGGGTGCGACCTCATCGCTTTCTATTACGAGAAGTGACGATTAGTGATTAGTGACGAGAAATGCATTGTCGCGTGTTTTCCCTGTGGGCCATGTGACCAACGTCACGTGATATTTGAATTGCTGTGCAGTTGACACCTCGGTTCATAGATGGCGCGTGTCTTTTGGTGCTAAGCGCCTTTGTTGTTAGGGCATGAGCGACATCTTGCGGCATGGGTCTGACCTTGCGCCATCTGTTGCTGAAAAGTTAAATTGCACGTCTTCCTAAGATGCGCATCCGTATTTTTCCGCACGCGCAATGCGTGTGAGTTGCCGAATCTGTTTGTAGATGGCGCGCACCTGAATCCCTTAGCTAGCGTGAACTTTTCATCATTATCACGCGACATTTCTCGATAATGTTAGCGGCAGCTTGGTAGATGTCGACAACTCTCGCGCTCACGGCATCTCTCGCTAATTTTAGCTGTCTGCTGAACGGAGCCTGTGTGGGAAATGGATCGGAGCGGGATCGCATCCATACGCGCTGAAAACGAGACAGATACTTTTTTTTTATTATTATTTGCTCTAAAAACACGCACACTTATAAATACAAAGACGGTGTTGAAATTCACTCTACGCGACAAAGAAAGCACTGGAAACACTTTAAACAAAAATGTACAACACAAGCAATATCAAAACACATCCGAGGCAAAAAAAGAAAAAAAAGTGGAATAACAGAGCAACGCGCGCGTTACAATCAAAAAAAAAATATTTACAAGGTCAGGGTGTGAGATGGGAGAAGAGAGATAGGATCCGGTTTCCATGCACTAGCGGATTACACAAAGAAAAAAAAATGGACACAAGAAGTTTCAAGACACACCGGTGGGAAACACGAGCAATTGCGCTACAGTCCAAAATATTTACAAGGCATGTGATGAGGAGGCAGATCGCTCGCTTCCGAAAATGCTCTTGTGACCAAAAGGGAACGTCGTAATCCCGTCGCTGCAAATGTATCGCTTGTTGTTGAACGGATTCATAGCAATCTTTTCGACCGAGATGCTTTTGTTCTCGTTAGGTTTTCGAGCAATCAAGTGCTGCGTCACTCTGTGCAAAGTTTTCGTCTCTAGAGCATGCCTGTACAGCTCGTAGGTGAACTTGCGAGACTCGGATTTTTTACCTCTTTGGCTCTTACGCAACACGTGTTACTGCTTGTTTTGAAGCTGTATAGCTTTGGTTTTAAGCAAAAAAAAAAGCCATTAAGTGAGTAGTCGGATATTCATTTTTTAACACACCGAGCCTCATTTTGTTTTCGGTTGAAAAGAGCTTGTGACTCTCTGGATATCCAGATGTATCCAAGCATGCGTCTCGGCGTTGGAGCAGTTTGTCGTCTACGTCTGATCTTTGGAGGTGTAGGAAGAAGGAATGCGTGTCGCAGTAAAGAGACCCTGTTGAGGGGATCGCACGACGAAGTTGATTATAAAAGAAGTCGTACAATACTATTTGTGATATCTCAAGATTTGAGAACCCTGCGTAGAGCGTTTGTTTGAGTTTGATCACTCTCGGAGCAAACTGCAAAATTACGACCTGCGAGCTAAGTGCTCGAAACTGTGTCAGGGTCGGCTTCTTAAGCATTTTCAGTACGTCGTCCTCTTTAACGCAGAGTTTAATGTGTCCATGTTTACGGGCATTCTCGATCGTTTTGCCATACATGATATTCGTGAACAGTTTGGAAAGATTCTTCTGGAAAGAGTTGGTTGCCTGCTGTCTCAGCTGGTGGTTAAAATCAATAAACTCCTTCAAGAACGCTCGCTGCGAGAAATTTAGGACTCGGTGAATTTCGGTGACCTCTAGTCCTAACTGGGTGTACAGTTTCCAAATCCGGTAGTGCAAAACGTATTTCGTTTTGTCGTGAAGTGTGAGCAACAGCTTCGTGGTGGATTCCTCTTTGGGCATTTCAAACTTGCCAATGAGACTTTTTTGATAGCCGGAAAACCAATCGTAGGGAACGCTTTGCTTCACCGGGGCCAAGGGAAAGTCAGAATGAATCTCGTGCAAGTCATGAGGATATCTGAGGTCTACCTCCAAAATGTAGCCCGTCGGAGCGTCATCTGGAACGTCACCAATGTTCAGGCAGGAAATCTCGTCTTTCGTCAAACACTCAAAGTCCGACACTGGGAGGGCTTCTCTCATTGTCGCCGCATACAGACCGTTTACGTCCAAGTCCGAAATCTGAGACGGTTCGTGCTGTGGGTTAAACATATCCGTTTCCGGAACATTTCCGACAGCATGACGGGTCGTGCATTGGGTAACCCCTCCGCGAATACCCTGTTCTATCATGAGATATGTGTCAGGATCGTCAATTAGCTGCAGTCTTACTTTCGACTGTTTCAACGCACACGACAAGCTTAGGGACGGTAACGATACGAAATGTAAAGCCTCAATGTCGTACGTCTCCAGCGTCCACCGTCTGAAGTTTTGGAAAACATCGGCAAGTAGGAGGCAGTCCGTCTTTAGGTAAAGGTCGCTGTATTTTCCAAGGTTCTTCAAACCAAAGGTACCGAAAACGACCTGCGCATGTTCGTAGTCTTCTTCACACACCCTGATCCCAGCCAACTTGTTAAAAAAGGACTGTCGTGGCGGAAGGCTTTGACCCTCGTAACTCTCAAAGCCTGTAATGAAATCGTAACAAAACACTTCTTTGTGGGCAAGGAGGTCGACGTGCTCGGGAAAGGACTGACGAAGGCAACAAAAATGCTCTGTTTTCTTAGAGTGGAGATTTTGCACGATCGTCTCCAGGCTTGCATTAAGAAATGCGAGGCTGTCAATAAAGCAAAGGTTGCCTATCTCTAACATTTTAAAATTCTGGCACGAGCTTCCGAGTACGTTAATATCCTTGGACTCGAACAAATTAAGCTTGCCTAGAAAGAAAATGAGGTCGTAGGAATGGTTATGCGCTATGAGTGGAACGGTATGTTCTTTGATTCGATGGTTTAGGTTACACTGGGAGCAAAGCGCTCGCCTATACTCTACCGTCATGTGGTCGTGGTCGCGAGTTTTAATTTTCTTGCTAAAGCTTTCGTAGCAAATACCACAGCGGGAAGAGTCTGCTCGGGAAGCCTCGTTTTTTTAGTCATTTCAAGAGGCACTTTACTCGACCTAATCAATCGTGTATTTCCGTCGCTAGAAAGTTGAGAATCAAACTGTATCTTTCTACGCAGTCGGGTCCGCGATAAAGGTATTCCTCAACAATGGACGAATCGTTCGACCGGATGACGAGAAGACAGAAAGAGCTGGGGACGTGATTCTCGTAAACATTGCCTGTCGACTGAGTCGGTTCCAGAATTGCTTCAAAGTCGTAAACGCAATAAAAGGGGAACTCTTCCATGACATGCCTGCTCCGAAAGTATAGTTCATCATCCTTGGTTGGGAAGACGGTTTTGCCCGGCTTCTTGTTCCTGCACATGGAGATATGGTCAGACAGGGTTTCTTGCCTCTGAAACCCGGTCAGACACCTCTTACAACGAAAGCGTAGGCTTTTAGTATTTGAAAAAAGTCTCGCAAAGTTTGTAATGCCCACGAAATGATTCTCAACAAGGAGAAGATCGACATGCTGCTCCAACTCGTTATCGACTACCTTCAGTAGGTAGACAAAGCTTTTCTCGCTGTCATAGCCAAACACATTCATTGAGACACAATTATTTCGCTCAAAGGCCCCCACGTCCTGGGGAAAGGTTAGAGGGAACGTTTTCGGAAAGACATACTTGCACATATGTTCACGATACGAGGATGCTCTTCCTCTGTAAACCCCGTTCGCAGGATGCAAAACGGCGAGCACTGCAAACACAAAGCACATGTCCCGTTCAGATTCGTGAAGACGCTCAGTGACACTTACGAGGCATTGCTTTGAGGTAAGTTGCTCCGGCAGAGAAAAATTCCCGCAACCAACAGTCGGGGGAAGGAATCGTCCCAAACTAATAGTACAAACTTTGATCCCGACAAGAAAGAATCCCGAGCCTTGTTCCTGATAATGCTCCAACCGGGCAGCTATTTCAGTGCGAACTCGCTGAATCGAACTACTGATATTACCGTCCGCAAATGCGGTTTGGACCTGACTATGAAAAAAGTGCACAGTCACATCAATGTCGTCAGGAAGGAGACGTCCGAGCTCGACACTGAGTGTCACAAAAAAACAAAGAGGCAGACCAAAATGTCGGAGCACGTTTGACATGTGCTCTGCACGATGTCTAAAAAAGGTGGCCACGTCGTACGCCTCTGTGTCTCTTTCGTGTAAGTGTAACTCGTACCGAGCCACGTAATTACGAAGAGCGCACACTCTTTCATGAAAGGGAATGCATGGCGAGGGAGTCACATTGTGCACCAAGACTAAGTGAACTTGCAGCGAGTCTGCACTGGAATAATGCTGTCGATCGTCGGGAGAACACAGGTGACAAATAACCATGATGGGGATGAGATGGCTAGACGATATTCGTAGATATCCGACGATTAGGTGACGAGGGGGCTAGATGATCCGAGTCGTCTAGGTGACCTTTTCACAGAGACCGAAACAAAAAATCCCATTAGCGAGGAGAACACTAGGCTTTTAGACTGCTCACCTTGCTGTGCAAGAAGGGTGTGATGGCGGACCGACGTGAATTTTCTCCCTCTCGATGACCAAATGCTGAAACAAAATGACTTATTAGCAAGGAAAACGCGAGGCTTTTAGTCCGCCCACCTTGTAGCGCGAAGATCAGGAGAAAAATCGATGCGTGAGTTGGGTAGTTTGAGTGCGAAGCCGTTTTATAGAGTCACAAAGCTGGAGTACGCCCAGGGAGTCATATGCCGTGCAATCGAAATAAACGGCCAAGTCGCAATGTTTAACGCAGATTTTCCTCTTAGCATTTACTGATAGGATGCGCACGTCCGACGACACTGCCAGTAAGCAACTAATGGCCTATTCGTCTGGGGCACGAAGCACCCGCGCAATGCAGTACACGTTTTCTACTTTACACTCTAAAAAAAAAGAGTAGTCACATATGACAACCTTTGGGGTGGTAAAAAGTTGCCCCAAATATAACGACCACTAAGGTAAAAATGACGACTCCACACGTAGTCAAAAAGCAGGTATTCAAATTCGACTACCCCTAAAAGCAACATGGCGGACGGTTAGCGAGGCTCGGATTCCCCGGTAAGGCCAAGCGAACAGCACGGCTTTTCGGCCGAGTTAGAGAATATGTCGCATACGCCTATTCGACGTCTTCCAAGCGCCATCAGACACTATAAACATCCGTCCTTAGACACCGGTACCGTACCAATTAGCCGGGAGGACGGCAGCGTGTTTGCCGGAATCGCCGCGATTGCACCCGACGGCATTTCGCTAGATTGACTGTATTTTTACCGCCGGCGGAGAACGCTCAAAAAAGAAATCGTAACGCGAGTAATGGGCACGCTGACTTTATTGAAGATAACGTGTGCTTGTCGTTTGCGGCGATGAATCGCCAGGGACCTTCGTCGACACCGACGGGAGGCGTTTAACTCGCACCAATGCCCCGCTATCTTTCTTTCTTTCTTTTTGTGTTTTTCTTATCTCTTCTTGTTTGTCCCTACCTCAACCGACGTGGTTATCCATTGCTGCCTGCACATCGCAGCTCTTCGACACAGAACAATAATTTATATGGCCGAGTGACACAATTATTACGATTGTTTTCCATCTGAGGGGCACGTAGGGAGCCCAGTGGACCGCAGAGCCTGGACGGCTGGACCGTATGCCAGCTGTTTGTAATCAATAGCTACAGGACTGCACAACACTTAGCTTATTGAATAAGGCGGCAGCTTGCGCCGGCTAGGAGGTGTAGTAGTAACCGCTATATGCGCTAAAAAAATGCTCATTCGCTAACTCTCCTGAGGCTCCTGAGCTACGTACGTGTGCACATATGACAACTCATGCGCCAACACACAAATCACGATACCGAACACTGTTACGGGCACGCACATATCAACAGTACAACAAGGCACAAGCAACTGCAACACAACACCACCGCGACTCTCTACTCTGACCACCCTACCGACCCGATTCGTATATATGCCCTACCCGGTCCTGACAAGGACTAGGCAAGTGACTGCCGCTGTTTAGTTGACGAATACAAAGAGTATCTGCAAGTATTATTAGTATACAGTTGTTCTGAGTATATAGATTGGCCGGCTAGACACCTTTCTTAATCTAACGCTTTGAAAGGCAACATGATATGAAAGTAATCGGCTAAAGTAACACCACATGGCATGCTCCCGATCAGTTTCGGTTTCAGATTCACGCAGTGATAAGCTTACTAATGCCATGTTGCCCCATGCTCGTTCCGCGCGTGTAATAGCAGCAAAGGTTGCAATATCTGCATTCCTAGTCAGTAATCGGCTAAAGGTAACACAATTCGTAGTCTTGTGTTGTTAAATATCCCACCAAGCCCAGCGCATCATTTGCTACGTAGAGTTTGATAACTGAAAAAGTGATAATAAATTGCGTGAAGCTGAGACCATAGAGTTATTATTGTAATAACTCTATGGCTAAAACCAAATCCCGCAGTATCGGTTTTGATACGCTGACAGAGTTTCCCGATTTGGGTAATTCAGCAAGGCCGCGCCAGGCTGCCGCTGGCAGCTAGAGCAAGATGGCCGCACGCAGCAGCTCGCTCGGAGGCATACCGTCGGCGTCATTTTACTCGAAAAACAGTAAGCCGTCCTATTGGCCTCCAGATCGACCTAGAGGTGGCGCTACGGTCACGCTATCATCATCACCAAAGCGGGGATAGGAGAACGGCCGCCCCATAGGCTCTCCACGTTCGCGCGCGAGGCGGCGTAGATTCTTGCGTTTATTTTGTCGCATACTATTCCTGGGAAAACAATTCTAGCGGAAAAGGATGCGGTACTGTTCGGTGCTTCAGTGAAGATCGAATCGCGTTGCCAGCGTGCGGCCTAGATTTATATATTCGCCTGTGGGGGTGCGTCATCTGCTCTAGGCAGACGTTGGAAAGCATGGTTCCCCACTACTGATGCCTGTCTCTGGCTGAACTGGAAAATTTATGTTAAATATTTGTTTCTTTTAAAATGGATGTATCGGTTCATCAACGTGAGAATTAAAAAAACAATAAATTCCAACCCAGATAACATAAGACTGGTACTGTGGGCTGCGAAATCGCAGTTTCTATGCTTTTTTTTAAACTTCTAGCTTTTGCAGTAATATAAATATTTAGAATGAAGATAAGCTAGCGCTGTATTGGAAATTACCATGCTATTGAGTTCCTCTTACCCTTTTACTGTGCCATAGTGTAAGTAAATTATTTGGAGTCTGAACAAATCTACTGCGTCGCGATGAGGAGAGTGTGCCTCTTCTAGTTTAGCCTCTGCAAACTGCACGGTTGGCAGGACAACTGAAACAAGTGAAACAAACTGTTCTTTTACATCTGCCGTGACTGTAATAAACGAGTGTACCCGAGAAACGCAGCAATGTACCTGTTATTAAATGCTTTTCTCGGTAGTGTGGGTTCACCCACTTCAATTTTCTTGGTAAGGGCCGCGGATGTCAAGAGGCTAATTCTATACATTTCTGGCTAAGTAATCTTGCACTGAAACACAGTAGACTCTGCAACTCCAACAAACGACGCGCACCACGACACAGACAGCATCGGCCGCACTGATACTCTTTTACTGATGAGGGCAAACGACCTTCACGAGACTTTCCGATCACCCTCCGCCCTCACCTAACGTATATCGGGACTGGCCAGTTCATCGATTAACTTTCAGATTATTCAAGTAATGCTTTAATTGCAATTTTTCTTGCCGGTTAATTGGACTCTTGTACTGGA